ATTTTGCTGTTACAAGTATAGTCTAAAATTAATGTGTGTACTTTATTTAACTGGCTAATATTAAATAAAACTAGAAGGTTGTAATGATTACTTTTTGTAAAAGAAAAAAAAGAAAAGATTTCTGCCTAATACAATATATCTAATTTTGTCTTTTTTTTAGGTTTGATCATTCTCCATGTGATCCCACAGTTACTCTACATGGACCGCCAGCTAATATGTTTGCCTGCATAGTCTGTGGCAAGAGATTTGCAAGTGATCAGCAATATCGTGCACACCTTTCGTCTAAGGCAAGAACTTAAGGATATTTTGATAAAAGTAGCAAGTTCTTTTCCCCTTAGATGAATCATTTTAATAAAACTATATGGAGTTTCCCTGACCAAAATTTATTTTTATGAAGGGAAATCATGATGGAAATATTTTCCTGTGCACCGCTTGGAGAGTCCAAGCAATGGGTTAATTCAGTCTGGTTGCCCTGGGACTGAGGAATGTTTTTTCCTGACCACACCTCCTGGTGTGGCCACTCCCCAGAATTTTTCCTCAGCCTGCCCGTTCGGATTGCTTCTCTGTGAGCTCCAGCTGAACTAATCCTTTTGGCTTGGACTCTCCTAATTTTTTCCATCTTTTTTCCTCTAAATCTACTCCCTTCCTATTTCTCTTTATTTCTTTGCCTAGCTGTTGTCTTTTCCAGCTGCTTCGTGCCTCTAGGAGGCCAGGAGGTAAGCGTGATGGAGGGGGTGCTCCATAGCTGCGCCTTTCGGGCCGGCTTTGGAGGCCTGCCGCTCACTTTTAAAGAGCGCGGCAACGAGTGGCGAGGCTTCTGCGACCCAGCGCTCTCTCCGTCGGCCCGTTTATTTTTTTTGTTGAGTTTTTTTCCGTCTCCCTGGTCAGTTCTCGATCTCAGCCTGCCGCGGAGGAGCGTGCGACCGCTGATTATACATGCGTTCGCCGCTTTCGCCTCCTACTCCACGCTGTTGCGGCGGCCATTTTTAGGCGCTTATTTTCGCGCCGTTTAGCAACGGCCATTACCGCTCAGCCACGCTTCACCAGGAGGCCGCTGGGTGGACAGAGGCCTTGTCCAGGGCCACCTGACTGGGCCTTGGCCACCTACATCGTATTCTAGGCGGCACTGGTGCCTGGGTCACTCGTGGCCTTTGCACTGGCGCAGGGAGGTCCCCTTTTTTTTCCATTCATGGCCTGATCCTCCCTGCTCTCCTGGTGGGCCTTGCAGCCTCGGCTACAGGCCCTTACCATCTCCTGTGACTGGTGAACACTGTCCATACTTTTGTTATGTCAGCATAATTTCTGTGATTGTTTTTGTTATCAATACTTTTCCTCATGGACTGTTTTTTTCTGTTTTTCTTTCCAACATAGCCAGTCAGAGCCTCCGGCCTTCCCACCATCTACCTGTGTGTCTGCACACCATCTTGTGAGGTCATTGGCCATGGAGCTTCCCGGTCCACCAGGTTCCTTAGATGGTAGACCAGGTCCTTCCCAGGCCCCTAGCAAGGAATCTCTCTCTACTAGGGGCAGTGGGTCTGGCAGGGGCGGTGCAGGTGCCATGGGCAAACATTCCCCCAGGGCCCCATCCGCGGCCAAGGTCAAGGACGCTGAAAGGCGCCAACGGGCACTTGATAAACAGTTCGAAAAGGCCCGGCGCCAGGCCACCAAGGAGCCCCCCCAGTACAATCCTTCTGGGGACTCCTTTGTCCTTCCCCTCCCACGGGGAGATCCTCAGGCCTTGATGGTTGAAGAGGTGGAGTCTCAAGATCTGTCTCCTGAAAGGTCACTGGCGGAACCAGTTTCTCCAGCTCCCTCTTGGGCTTACGAGCAGGGCCCCATCCCTGAGGACCCCATCCGAGATGATTTGCCCCAGGCTGTTCCCACCCATCTGGAGGAGCCCACTGCTCAGGACCCCGAGTCTGACCAGGAGCCCGAACTTTCGGCCCACATGCAGGCCGTGGTTGCCCGTGCCATTGTCAAGGGTATCGTGAAGGGCATGCAGAAATGTGATCAGCTTTCAGTTGCTCCCAGCACCTCTCAACCCAGCCAGGGCGCCTCTCCCCCTGCTAAACGGGTCTGTCACCCCTCCTTAGAATCTTCTGTGGTCAGTGAGGCCTCCGCCCTTGAGGATCCTGACCAGGAAGGACAGGATCTCTCGGAGGACGAGGACCTCCCGCCCGATGCCCCTGCCTTCTCAGGGCTCTTCAAGCCCAGTCTTTTTAAATCCATCCTCCATAAAGTTAAGGCCGCTACCAGGGTTAGGATCAAGCCCAAGCCCGCACAGGCCCCAGCTGACTCAGCTCCGGTCAACCCTAACACGGCCATGTCCGATGTTCCTGCTCCTCAGCAGGAACTGGTGCCGGTCCCTGGGTTGTTCCTAGATCTTATTCAGCGCCAGTGGACCCAACCGGCCACGCTGTCCTCTCCCAGCGAAGCGGACAAGAAGCTGTACACTATGGAACCTGCCCTGGAGGACATCCTGGTCCTTCCAGACGTGGATCCTCCCATAGCGGCCCTTACCTCCAATTCTTCCCTCCCCTCCGACCTGTTGGAAGACCTTAAGGCGGAGGATAAAAAAGCGGAGAAGGCCTGCCGCAAGACTCATCTTGCAGCCGCTTGGGCCATTAAGGCGTCTTCCTCCGCATCCTTATTTAATAGGGCCTCCATCATTTGGCTGCGCGAGCTATTGACCAAGCTCCCGGCGGGAGACATGCGTCTCCGCCAGGACATATGCAAGATTATTGCGGCTTCCCAGTATGCTGCGGATGCGTCCCTCAATGCCACCAAATTCGCATCCAGGGCCCTAGCATCCAATGTTACATCCTGCCGCCTGATTTGGCTTCGACATTGGCAGGTGGATCAGAAAAATAAATGGAAGTTGGCTTCTGCCCCCTTTAAGGGGTCCAAATTGTTTGGGGGGGTTCTGGATCCTATTGAATCAAAGGATAAGAGGAAGGTTCTGCCGTCGCTATCCAAGAAGCAGGACCGCAAGTCCGCTCCTTATCCCAGAAGGTAGTCCTTTCGTTCCTCAGAGCCCTCCACTTCCTCCTTCACTTCCCCAAACAGACCATCCGGCCAATTGGGGGATAGGGCACAGGATAGACCCTCCTTTCGGGACAGGGGTAGGCAACAGTTTGGGTTTCGCAAGTACAACCACGGTGGGGCCTCCAACAGATCTTTCCGCAAGTCCAAGTGACTGCCCGAACACTTCGCCCATAGGGGGTTGGCGCCAGCTATTTGCCTCCCATTGGGCCCAGACCACGGTCCTCCAGATTGTCAGGGAGGGCCTCTCTCTGGAGTTCCTGTCCCCTCCACCTCGGAATTTCATCCAGTGCCCCATTCCCTCCTGCCCTCTCAAGAGGGAGCTCATGAACCAGGAGATCCTCCATCTCCTGGAGATAAATGCGATAGAGCAGGTGCCCCCGACCAGGAGGGGAGGGGTTTTTACTCCATCTTTTTCCTGGTACCCAAAAACGGGGTGGGGGTGGAGGGCCATCTTGGACCTCAAGAACCTCAACAGGCACATCGCCTATCGGAGGTTCAAGATGCAGTCCCTCCAGTCCATCCTGGCAGCGATCCGCCAGGGAGACCACCTCACCTCTTATCGACCTAAAGGAGGCCTATCCACATCCCCATCCGTCCTCAGCACAGGAGGTTCCTGCGCTTCTTCTATGCTGGCCGACACTTCCAATACATGGCCCTTCCATTCGGCCTGTCGTCGGCACCCAGGACCTTCACGAAGGTCCTGGCAGTAGTAGCGGCCCAGCTCAGGTGCAGGCCCATAAGGCTCCAATGCATCCTCATCCGGTCGTCGTCCAGGCAACAGGCCTTGCGGGACCTCCGTGTCACCCTGAGGACCCTCAGGAGTCACGGGTTCTCCTTAAACCTTGAGAAAAGTCACCTTACCCGTACCACCAGACTCAACCACCTGGGGCCGGTGATAGATACCTCTTTGTGCAGGGTGTTCCTCTCCCAAGACAGGTTAGAGGGCCTGGTGTCCATCACCCACAAGGTGATGCATGCAAGGCAGGTTCCTGTGGTCCTTCTGTCGCAGCTGTTGGGGAAAATGATCTCATGCATCTCGATCGTTCCCTGGGCCCGACTCCATTCCAGGGCTCTACAATGGCTTCTCCTG